AAGCTGCTGGGAGCTTCCTCTGTGCCTGAGACAGGCCAATGGCTGGCTAGTTCTGAGAACTGACAACATTTTGCACCATTTAGAAATGAGATGTGCCTCTGTGATGATGCACATTTTGAAAACCACCAGCCCGGGAACTGGCCCTCTTTGCTTCCGGAGCCCGAAGGTAACGGAGCTCTGGTGAGGCCGGCCCTGCTCGCCCACGGCCTGTGCTCCTGGGGGAGGCCGGGCCAGACCCCAGCGGCTCCCGGGCGGGGGATGGAGGCTGCGGGACCCCGGCCCCAGGCTGGGCCAGGCCACAGCTGCTGACATCTTGCCCACACTAAACCCTCTCCCCGGCGTGCAGCGACGGCTCCAGGCCGAGCCTCCCCTCCCAGCGGCTCCTGGGCAGAGAGAGGGGCCCAGCACAGCCTGAAATCCAACACCGTGACTGCCATGACCTGGGTGAGATTGAACCCTTTCACTACACAGATGAGACCTGCAATCCTCAATCCTCTCTCTAGGGTGACAAATAAAGAGAGAAAAAAAGTGACGTAGAAAGATAACATGAAAGCACCAAAGTCAGTAAAAGAAGGAGTCAGGCCTCAGATGGAAGGAGGATGAGGAGATGCTGAATGGGCTGAAATATTCTTTTGGTAGGGCCACGGAGATGGAGAAGGATATACTGAAATATCTCCTTTAATTAATGAGAAAAGTAGAAGTGTTCAAGCTGTAGATGTGAGCAGAGGCATCCATTGCTTAAGCCAAGCAGATGTTGGAGTAGCTCTGATCCCATGAGAAGCTTGAACAGAGAGAGAGAGAGATGAGAGTGATGAAGACCCTTTGGCCCCCAGGGAGAGAAGAAAACCTTTGTTCCCAGAGATGATCCAAGAGACAGCTTTGCCTTTGAAGAACTCATCCTTAAAATAATACCCCATTGACACACCTCTAAGAGGGCTGTGGAAATGGGAGGAGTGTCACGGTGCAGAATTTTGGCCCGGGCAGCTGCTATTTGTGGAAATGAAAAGCCACGAGAAAAGTGTTTCTTGTAGAGAAGTCTCCAAGGCATTGCAAGAGAAAAGTCCTCTCCCTATAAGAACTGATGAAAGACTATTGTATAGTTGGTACTGACTTATTATCCCAGGTTCTGTCTCTACGTGGTCAGTTCAGAAAGGAAAAAGTTGGGTAGGGAGAGGAAAGGTGTTCTGGAGGTTTTATTCTGATGTTTCTTATTCTTGTAGACCTGTTCATAAAATTTGTTACTCCTTTTAAGTTTGAAGCCTGTTTTCCCCTTCTCCTAGTCCATAGCTCCCAGCAAGAAATGAGTAAGTGCACTGGTCATTTTAGCCAGTGCTAAAACCCAGCACTCCCTGCCAGCCCAGCCCAGTCTAGGATTCCTCCCCATTGTCAGCTGAACAGCACCAAGGATGGAAGTGAGGAGGATGGGGGCTCATCTGATGCCTTGGATTTCAGTGGAGGAGGAGCCCATCCCTCAGACACTGTTTCACCTGCAGCCCTTTTGGCATTTTACCTGCAGCAGCTCCTTGGCAGACCAGCGCTGCGCCTTGCCTTTCTGCAGGCAGCAGCTCAGGAAGTCACGCAGCAAAGGCGAGAATTGCTCGGGCTGCCGCAGCTGTGGGGTCCCTGCTGTGGCTATGTGGAATTTAGCCTGGAGAAAAAGGAAACACAAGGCTCCACCTGCTTCTTTCCCATCTGTAACTGCTCTCCCAGAGCCCATTGTTTCAGCTCCACTCTGCAGTGGCAGTTTTTGCCCTGGCAGAGAGGCAGAGATGACTTTCCTGTATCATTTGGATGATGACTTTCCTGTATCATGAAAACACCCAAGCCCCAAAGCCACAGCTTTGCCAACATCCAGCAGATCTTGCCTTGGCAGCTGATTTCATTGCCTAGTTGGCCAAGCTGTGCCAAAGTGCCTTGTGATTAGACCTCATCATTGGAGTAATTAGGAAGTGACATTCCAACAGCCCATTTCTCTGCTCCCTTGGGGGCCAGTTACAGGACACGTGGCCACTGGCGATTTGCCTTGTCCACTTGGTAACAAAGGTGTATCAACGATCACCCACAAAGCTCTGACCACACTCTCTGCTGCTCTGCTTGGATTCAAAAGAAGGAATGGGTGCCTTGGTTCTCTGTGGATACATCCTGGGCTATGGGCAGGGCTCAGGGCTTTTAGGAACATCTTGCAGGTCTCTTCCTACATGTGGCTCCCAAGTGCAGCACTGCACGTGGCTGAGGAAATACCAGGAGCATTCAGATGTATTTGCTGGCAGCCAGAAATGAGAATTCAGGACTCTGAAGCTGTAGCCCCAAAAAGCAGTGAGATGCTCTAAGACACCACCTTTGTTTTAGCAATTGAGAGCGTGTGGGCGCGTCCTTCTCTGAAAGGAACCGCTGCCCTCCTTGTCTTCCTACGGGCAGCTGAGGAGGACAAAGCCTGTTCCAAGTGCAATTTGCAGGCTGGCTCCAGTCTGTGCTTCTTGTGCCTTTTCAGCACAGCTCTACTCAAAGCTCCAGCCACAGCTGTCAGCAGTGGGGAAAGGCCTGGAGAGCAGCAGAGGCTGCAGGGGCTGTTGACATTTACCTCTCCTCCTGTGGCAGTGTCAAGTGCTCTGGAAACCTCTCCAAAACCCCTAGAAACAAAACAGCAGCAAAGAAAGGAGAAGCCATTTAGATCTTGCACTGAAAGCCAGTCCAGACAGGAGAGCTCTGCTGTAAATGCCTAAAAGCTGCAGGTTG